GTGTTTCCGATTGTGGATCCTATCCTATTCCCTGACACCATCAAAGCCGCGTACTCGCACTCGAGTGTGAGTGCCAGGCGAGCAGACGTCAGGGCCTGTATTCTATCATTTCTTGCCTTTAGTTCTATTCTCCAAGTTCCGGAATACAAGGATAGGCCGCTTGGCCTCCCGCCGATCGACAGCGAGGGACTTGCCCTCAAGGCTCAATGTCTAATCCCGCAGGTTCTCCGGGAGGATGCAGGCTTAGAGGGTTTGCAGGCGCTTATCATCATGGTGAGTCGTCATGCTGGCCTGGCATCTTGCAAATTGCCGTGCAAGCTGCGTGACTTTACTGTATCGTTCTTCAACAGAGCTGACAAATTCACAGGCGCTCTTCGAACTAGTCACTGGTAATCTGTGTACAGCAAACTACTACGGTTCTGTTGCGGCACGGATGGTATATTTGCTAGGAGGCCATACCTATCCCGGCCCCATGAACTCATTCCCCGCATCTCCTGCCGAGCACCTCGAGCAGAGAAAGAAAAGTCATCTCAGGAACCTATTCTGGCTTTGCTATACGATCGAGAAGGACGTGGCTCTCCGCACAGGACAACCACAGGTCCTCTCGGACGAAAACTGCGACCTGACGCTCCCCCCCGGTTATGTAGAGCAACTGTACAGCAGCTTGGGCATTCACCACCAATCCCGAGAACTGCCGGACCATCCGATGTTCCCAGTCGATCTACGCCTGAGCATCATAAAATCTCGAGCCTATAGCGCTCTATACTCGTTTCGAGGGCTCCAGAAGACAGACGCAGAGCTGCTGAAGGAGATCCGCGAACTGGATGACGAGCTGGAAAGGTGGAGGATGTCCGTGCCGCCAGAATGGAGACCTACCCTGTCTTTCTCGCACGAGACGCCGGATCCAAACGTCAGCATGCATTCCGTCATGCTACGGCTGAACTACCACCTCTGCATGACAATCATCCACCAAGCTAGCAGTCGGTGCCAATCATGGGTCCAGGGACAGGGCGGAATGATCGAGGGCGTAAGTTCGAGCCTGGCTCTCTCTGTCGAGGCGAGCCGCTCCACATTACTCTACCTGGAGTCGGCCGAGCATGTTCTCGTTGACGGTGTTTTCTGGTGAGTCGTCCCCATCTTTCGGGTTTTTATGGAGTCTTGCGAATGCTGGCTAACTCGACCAAGGACCCTCATCTTCTACCCCATGTCGGCTCTGATCGCAATCTTCTGCAACATCCTGCAGAATCCGTCAGATCCGCAAGCAACGAAGGATCTGGCGTTGCTTCGGACAGCAACATCCATCATGGAACGAGTCTTCTTGCGCCAATTGATGTCCATAGACGAGGTCGTCCACATAAAGATGGTTGCAGATTTCGTGACGGAGCTTTACACGTTCGCATCATGCGCTGTTGAGAAGGCGTGGAAGGAGCGCGCGGGGCAAGGCTCTTGACTCGGTTATAGCTTTGGTTGAATAGACTTGCGATAGATTCTACTTGTGCTGGCCCACAAGGACTTGATAGATTATGGATGAGCGGGCATTTGATGATTCTACTCGGTTCAGGGACATGGTCGAAAGCTACGTGACTTTTGAGCGTAAAGAGACAGACTGGACATATGCAGGCTAGCCATTTACACAATTCGCGGGATTAGTTCTAAATATGCAAGACAACTTGATCGGAAAGACATCGATTTATATTGTATTGGTTCCATTGCTACTTGAATGTCTAAAGTCAGGAAACCTAAACCAGCGAACATTAGCAACTGATCAACAATGTCGAGCAGTGAAATTGAGCGGTATAGAGAGCAAGCTTTCGCAAGCCTGATTTCAGATTATAATGCACAGATGGAATCAAGAAGTACTTTGTACTTTCATATGGGGTTGAAACAAAGAGATTGGCATATTCATCATTTGAGACCATGACGAGATAGTAAGAGAGAGGCTTACCGAATACTTAAGGGCAGTAGTTGCTCGACTGTTTTGAGCGATTAGCATTACTGGATGGATCAACAGTTCTACCTTCATAAAATAGAACTGTGAACTCCCAATGCTGGCCAAGATGCATAGTTTAAAAAGATGGAAATGTCGGCTGAAATTCCGCGGGAAGTTTTTAAAGCTCGCGAAATTGGTGCGTCACGTGATAGCCGGATGAACTAATTTCCCGTACACAGCTGACAGACGCATGGTAAGCTTAGAACGAGAGCATGCAAAACATAAATTACCGCCTTCATTCTGGGGGTATTTGCATTAAGATGACGTTTTCCATGGCTGGTCCCGAGCTGTATCATGGGGTGCTCGAAACTGTCTGCCTTGGCGCTCAATTGGCGATCGCAGCGCTACATTCGCGCGTTCATGAGAGTTTGACGGTTTTCCCAAGCGTCAAGCACGCGCTAGGCAGTAGTGTAGAATACCAGAGAAGTATACTCTCAAAAGCGAGCCGGAGAAAGCTGTGTAGCTGCTCTCTGGACCATTCCGAGCACCATATGCGGAAGAAAGATGATGGGGCGACTGTCGGCCTCAATCCGTTCCATCCAGGATGTCCCAAACAAGTCGAGAGCTGTTGGCATTGTTGGCATCTTGATCGCCAGTAGTGCGCTTTGCCGTATCGTTTTCTCCCGACTTAGAGGCAGAATCTACGTCGATTCCCTGAGCTTTCAGCTGCTCCAGAAAACCGTTGATCTCGGCGTGCATCTTATCCATTTGTTGTATCTCTTCTCGGCTCCGATTGAGCTGCTCCTCCATCATCATAATCAGAGACTCCCGCGCTTGGTGTGGTCGATAGAGGTTGAGAAGATGGTGGGCGTTGATAAAGAGGTTTCGCAGGTCCTCTACCTTTGATTGGAATTGCTCTGGGGTTATCGAGAGGATACCGACGAATTCGAGGAAGTTTAGTAATAGGGACTTGCTGATTTTCAAAAGATAGTATGCATGGTTGAACGGGCGAGATGGTTGCGACGGCTTGTTGGGGTCTGTCTCGGTTGGAGTTGAGGGATAGAGTTGTTCAATACCCTGTTCCTGCAAAGACGGCAGAGTCGTAGATAGCTGAAATTCATGGTAAGTAACGAACAATTGAGCGCCTTGTATGTATTGGACCTACACTCTGTAATTCTCCAAAGACGCTGTATTGTCCCGACATCGGTATCTCCGGGGGCACAAGGAAACGGAGCTCTGGTGGAAGTTGGAGAGCGCGCAATTCAGCAGGAGTCCACTTCTTCTTTCGCGGTTTCCCGTCTTCGCCCTTCGATGCCTCTTTTTTGACCTCCTCTAGTCTCTTGAGATTGTCCGGTGTGAAGTGTTTCCAGAGAGGAGGCGGCGGCGCGAAGGCCGTGAGCGGTCTTGGTTGTCCAGCTTCAGCCATGAGGATTGCCAAACGCCGAATGAACTTCTTAAAGTAAATATATGCAAGGCGTGAAATTCCTGAAGAGTGTTGAACTCAATCTCAGCAACTTGTGGTGCCAGAAAGCTGGGTTGTGGTCCTTGAAGAGGATGCAGAGATTCGACGGAAGTGGCAGTGGCCCGTGCTCAGGCACTGACGACAGCACCGCCAGATTGCTCGTGTGCCTTGAACAACCAACTGGCGCTGCTGTCTCGAAGTTTTCACTTATCACTATCTCCCCTTTATTTCTCCTTCCTCAATGCGCAGTTTGATATGCGCGGGGAGCTTTTATTCTTATGAGTAATATACTCGATCGAACATCACGGAGATGCCTCGCAATGGCATGAATACTGGGTCGAAGCCGACTGTAATGCCAGACGCTCTGGCTCGGTTTTGCCAACGTTCATATCCAGCCGTGGACTATATCGCTTTAGCATGTTTAGCAGGGATATGGGTTATGGTAATTCCTTTCTGTATCTGGGGTTGAGATACGGTTGCGTTACTAACGGCTCTCATGGTTTGCAGATCCAACTTTTCGTGGACCCATTCCACCGCATGTTTTCTCTCGATAATAGATCTATCCAGTATCCGTTTGCCGTTATAGAAAGAGTCCCTGTGGGTGAGCATGCTCGGAGTCTGACACCGGTTTGTCCTATGCTCATACATTGCCAGTATGGTCGATTATCTATGCTGGAGTCGTCCCACTCCTGATCCTGCTTTGCTGGGCGGCCATTTTCCGCCCCAAACCATACCAGGTTCAAGTCACTATTCTCGGGCTGCTTGTCGCGCTTATGTTGACATCCCTGATTACGGACATCATCAAGAATGCGGTTGGGAGACCTCGACCCGATCTTATCTCGCGGTGTATGCCCAAGAAGGGCACTCCGGCCAACACCCTGGTAGCCTGGACGGTCTGTACACAGTCGAACAACCACATACTCCAGGAGGGATGGAGAAGTTTTCCCAGTGGTCACAGCAGCTTTTCTTTTAGTGGGCTAGGATACCTGTCAATGTTGGTTTCGGTCACAAGATTGTTGCCAAGCTACCGATGCTAACGCGTGCTCGATGTAGGTTCCTCTCCGGACAAATGCATGTATTCCGCCCTAGAGCTGATCTCTGGCGCTGCATTCTGGCTTTAATACCGATGTTGTGCGCGCTGATGATCGCAATCTCGCGCCTTGAGGACTATCGGCACGATGTCTATGATGTGACCTGTGGGTCTATCCTTGGCCTGATTATTGCTCATTTCTCCTACCGACGCTACTACCCTCCGTTGCGATCTGTCGCCTGTGATGTTCCACACGAGGCTTATGAAATCGTCGGTCCAAACGGCTTTTCTAAACTGCCAGGCGATGAGGAACAACATATCCAAGAACGAGGTCTAGGCTCACGCGGCTGGGAAACCCAAACATATCAGCTGGAGGATCTGCCTTCTCATCACGATCGGTTGCACCATCCCTCCTCGGCTACTCCTGCATAAAAAATGGAATGATGACACCACGCACCTTTCTTGAAGAATGGTGTACTGCAAGCATGCATACCCTGGTGGTATGTGCACATGTACGATGACTACTTGCATATATGTAGAATAGCGCTTTGAATTTTTGGGCAGATTTGCTACCTCACTTATAACTTGGAAATATCTCTATATTGTACATTTGTCCACTCCTTGACGTCGTGGAAGTCCATTACTCTGTTGGGACCCCCGAATCTCCCCAGAGTATCCTTCCAGTTGCGATTGGCAGCAATCTCCGGGTTCCATTTGATCAGTTCGTGGATCTTTTGAGGAACCTTGCCTTCCATAGCATCGACGATGAGATTGCCTATTGAAGGTAGATATTTAAATCCTTAAAAAATCAATTGGTCAGCTCTTGCCGCGCTTAACATCTCTTGATGTGAAAGACTTACCTCTGCCGGAAGCGCCGCAGCCCAGGACAAGCGAATGGTACTGAGGATGGCGATCGATCAAGAACTCGCGGTTGGCAGTGTCGGCGCACCAGCAAATCCTGGCGAAACTGAATGGACGGTCTGCAAGCTGTGGCATTGTCTCTTTAAGCAGAGCTCTAACCCTCGTCTCGGCTTCTTTAGGAATCTGAGTCTTTTCAAAGGGAATACTCATCATCGTTCCGTCAGCAGACTGCACCATATTGGTATACCCCGGATGTTCGTCGCAGATCTTAATCTCACCGCGCTCCTCATCTGGCTCGAAGAAGAACCCCCTCTCAATGTTGAAGATAACTGGGATGTTCTTGTAAAGAGCCCGCTCTTCAGGCTTCAGAGCGATATGAACCAGCGTCCATGCCGTTGGACGGAGCTGATTCTTGAAGTCGAGGAACTGACCGGCGCTGGCACCGGCGCAGAGGAATGTGCGCTCTGCACGCCAAATCTTGCCGTCTGCCGTAACGGCACCTTTGACATCGTTATTCTCAAATATCAGAGTGACTACTCTGCCCTGAGGAGTGCCAGTCACGAACTTCACGCCCATTCTCTGAGCCTCCCTTGCAGCAGCCACGAGCGCATTGCGAGCATGGGCCCAACCAGCTCCTGAACGCGCAAAGTAGCCCTTCCAGCCGGGGAATTCTCCCTGTAGAACACCCTCAGGAGCCAATTTGCGGAATTGCTCCGGCCGTGTCAGTTCCACAAGGTTGGGATCCTCACCGGGCCTGACACGGACCCCAAGGCGGTCCAAGCCTTCCTGGGAGCAGGCGGACATGAGCAGTCCAGTATCGTGATAGTATGGTTTGAACAGGGGGTCGTTCTTCCAGCCATTGAACGCTTCTTCAGCCAGAATCTCGTTGATCTCGATTTCGTCCTTGTTGTTGCTGTATTGGCCGGAGGAGATGACTTTGTTCACATCATTCCCAGCCGAGATGGCTGAGGGAACGGGGTAGGGATCCAGAACCGTCACATTTGTGTATCCTCTTCGTGCCAGGTGGAGAGCAGTCGATGTGCCCCAGGTGCCTGCACCCACGATCAAAAGGGAAGATGACTTGGTCACTGCCATGACGTTGTCCTGGCGAGTACGAAAACGAGATATTGAGGATTTCAGGAACACTATGAAAGTCGAAAAGGAATGACTTGTTGTGTTGATCAGACTGGTCGCAGAATGAGAGTGTCCGACACCATGACGGTCAGCTTTATACGCCCCATAGGAAGGTCATGGCATGATCAATGAATTGTTGATCTGTCGCAAGTATTCAGACTACATGCAGGAAGGTCCACGCGAAGTATCTGCTGTCTTATAGACAAGCTCGCTCTTTATCGGGTGTCTTAAGTTGTCTGGCCCTGACCGTCTGAACCGCACCTCAACGCATCACCCAATCAAGTTGAATACGTGGATTTCCCCGCGTGCAGTGTCCGGGTGACTCCAACATGACTCCACTCTGCCCTGATAACTCGGATTAACTCCTCAGTGCAATTAAGTAAACGATTCAGCAGTCTTTAGCCTGAATCAATCGAATCCGAAGTCGGCCATGGTTATTGGTATTATTCGCTTATCCACCGTTTTGGCGTCGGATTACGACCGAGGATGGTATCTTGCTCCACTGGGTCCTCCATCACATATCGATTTTGGTTGGAATTGGTTGACAAGCATGATTGACTGATAGGACTGTCTGATACAACATCCAAGTAGAGATAACGATGGCTCCCATTTCGGACTGTTCGCATCAGTCCATTGAAACCCTATCTATGGTCATCAACCCTTATGAATGGACACCTAAGCATGCGCCAATAGTTAACGATAGGGCCTAGACAAGCCTACCAAGTGTTTAGCATGCGCCGGCTGATAACCTTGGCCAACATCCCGGCAAATGGCGTCTTGGTTTCTCGCTTGGACCTTACCTCACTTTCTGATTCCTCGTGAATGGCCGGTGGCGTCGATCTCAGTTTTGATGGCACCTAATCAATCACCAGCATTCTCGGAGCTTCTGGCGTCTGTCGCTTCTTTTCCCCACACTACGGTTCATGCCGACGCGATCAACGTCTCGGATAGTTCTGGGGTAGGACCTTCCGTCTACCAGTGTTTCTATCTTTTCTCTATCAAGGTTGGGGTTCCCCTCACTTCGCCCGCGATAGAGCATCCGGATTGATAACTATTGGAAAAATTGACGAGATGGGCCATGGTATAAAGATGCACAGAATGGCCACCATTGAGGTCGACCATTCTCCTCGAGGAACTCCATCCTTTTCTCTCTCCCTCATCATTGTGCTTTCGCAGAGAACAGGATCTTGCGGTATCACTGTTGGACCCAGCTGTTATGGCTCCAATTCAGTCACAGGGTGCCGATGTGGAAGTTTGCCCTGGCGACCCATCATTGCGCGATGAAGGCGTCTCTAAGAAGCCAATAACGGCCGAAGAGGCCATGGAGATTGCCATCGGAGAAAGCAGTACAGTCGAGTATACGATAGATTCGGATAACTCGCCCTATTTGGAAGTCCGAGCTAATGTGCCCAACACTGATGATCCTACGCTACCTATCAACACATTTCGGATGTGGTTCCTGGGGGTTGTATTCACCTTGGTAAGCGCAGTTCTTCATCAGCTATCGATTTACGCTGTCCCTACTGACTTATGTATCTATGCAGGTCGGCACGGGTGTCAACCAATTCTTCTCGATGCGTTATCCGAGTGTTACCATCACGTCCCTTGTGGCGCAGCTGGTCAGCTACCCTGTAGGGTGCTTTTTCGCAAAGGCCTTGCCGATTATGAAGATCCGCCTCTTCAATCGGTGGGATCTGGTCATCAATCCTGATCACCATTTCAACATCAAAGAGCATGCTGTGATCACCATTATGTCGAATCTCAGTTTCAACCAGTCATGGGTGAGTGACCACCGACCTTGGAGCAAAGGAGTGCCTCTGACAAAGAGTAGGCGAGTGCTATTATTCAAGCACAAAAAGTCTTCCTGAATATGCCAACCCCAGTTGGTTACCAAATCTTGCTTGCTCTGTCTATGCAGCTGTTCGGCCTTGGCCTGGCTGGACTATCATATCGATATATTATTGAGCCCCCGCAGATGGTATGCAGAGTACTCATTGCAGGAAGAGAAAGAAACTGACCACCTACAGATCTGGCCTTCGACGTTAGCCAATGCTGCACTGTTTCAGACACTTCATAGCGGCGCGAACCCGATCGCTGACGGATGGAGGATCTCTCGTTATCGCTTTTTCTTGTTTGTCTTTATTGGGAGCTTCTGCTGGTATTGGCTGCCCGGCTACATTTTCACCGGACTGAGCACATTCGCTTTCATTTGCTGGGCCGCTCCAAGTATGTCCTCAATTCCTCCCAATGACATAAGTGTTGTCTAACAAGTCATTTTGCAGACAACAAAGTACTTAATAATTTGTTCGGAATGACCACCGGACTTGGATATCTTCCCACAACCTTTGACTGGAGCCAAATTGCTTACAATACCTCCCCCTTGGTCATGCCATTCTGGGCACAGGCAAACGTGTTCGCCGGCTGGTTCTGCGTTTATGCAGTGATTGCCCCAATTCTATACTACACCAACACATGGTTCACTGCATACCTCCCTCTGACCGGATCTGATGCGTACGACAATACTGGCAATGTCTACAATTCGAGCCGAATTCTGGATGCGAGCGGCGTCATTGACGAGACCAAGTATCGCGAATACAGCCCGATCTTTCTGCCTGTGACCTTTGCCTTGAGCTATGGACTCGGTTTTGCTGTCCTCAGCTGTCTGATCACCCACGTCTTGCTCTACCATAGCAAGGATATCCTTAGCACATTCAAGGGCGAAAATAAAAAGGATATCCACGCAAGACTGCTTTCCCGCTACCCCGATGTTCCATGGTGGTGGTTCGGAATCCTGACTGTAAGTTCAAGCGTCTCAGCAATCTTCCCTGGCAAAGGCTGACACCCGACAGGTCATCGTCGTGGCGGTAGCAATCATGACTCAGTATGTCTGGCATACAGGGCTTCCATTCTGGGGCCTCTTTATTACTCTTGCCCTTGCGGCAATCTATGTGATACCCGTCGGAACCGTCTATGCCGTTGCCAATCTGAACAGTAATGTTCTGACCGTACTGGGAGAGATTATCTCGGGTTATACGCTGAAAGGAAAGCCCCTTGTGCTTCTTATCTTCAAGGTAAAGCGCAACACAACGTCCGTCATGACCAGCAGTCGCTTATGGTTCCTCAGTTCTACGCATACACCGGATTGAGTCAAGCAATGTACTATGGTGCAGATATGAAGGTTTGTCCTCTCGAACTCCACGTCTGAAATACTCCGCTAATATACTGCCTACAGCTCGGATTGTACATGAAGATCCCGCGTCGGACATTATTTGTTGCCCAGCTCGTCGCTTGTATACTTGGAACTCTAACCCAGAGTGAGTTTCACACACGAGTGTTGCTATACACTTGCTGATGACCTTTTCTCCCAGATGGTGTTCTGATATGGATGCTTGGCAATGTGAAGGATGTATGTTCAAGTGATCAGCCTGACAACTTTACCTGCCCGCAAGGCCGAGTCAATTACAACAGTGCAATTTTCTGGGGTGGTATGTCTTTGCCGATCTTTTATCTCCAGTCGCGGACTGACAGGTTTATCCAGCCATTGGGCCCGCGCGACTATATAACATCGGCCAGAGGTACTCTGGTCTTTTGCACATGTTTTGGATAGGAGCATCCCTTCCCATCATTACATACTTTATCCGGAAGAGATTCCCTAAGTCACGGTTCATCGATGCAATCCACTGGCCGATCTTCTTTGCAGGCACTGGAAATCTGCCACCGGCGGTATGGATCTGTCTCCTAGATACGGTTCTTGTTAGCTGACTCATACGAACTAGACCGGCATCAATTATACAACTGCTTTCGCAGTCAGTTTCATCTTCAATAAGGTGAGCTTTCCGCGCTCTAGACAAGATGCCAATCATGAAGTACTAACGGCCGGCAGGTCATCAAAGGCCGTAGACCGCATTGGTGGGCCAAGTACAACTACGTGTTGTCCGCTGCTCTCGACTCTGGCGTCGCTGTTGCCGCAATTCTGATATTCTTCGCGCTGATCTTTCCGGGAGTCAGCTTGAGTTGGTGGGGAAATACCGTCAACAGCGGGACAGTTGACGCAAAGGGGACACCCTGGAAAGAATTGGGCCTGAATGAGACGTTTGGCGAGAGGACTTGGTCATGAGCATCATGATGCATATCAATGATATATGTCCTATTTAGAGGTTCGCGATTTGCTGAGATCAACATCTGCTAAAAATGTATGTACATGCCTCAGGCATATAGAATCCCCGTGGGGTGATAATCGCGTGTTCTCATTGGTGGATGTCCCTGTCGGAGCGGATTCTTCCATCCTTATCGATCCATCCAGAAATAATGACTCCGATTGCGATGGTGAATAAGCTCCATCATCCTTCATCCATCTCATCTAGCTCAAACTAGACTTTTTGAGGGAATCACCGGACTGTATATACTCGTACCGCCTTGGCAAAGTATATCCGGTGCTCAAACCACCTCGTATTCGATTGTCAAGACTCTCGAGATTATATTTGCCACTGGGGTTCGAGAAAAGTCCGCAACCTCCTCTTCATCCCCTCTCAAACGCGCCAATGGTCCCTGCAGCATGAAACTGGCCATGTAAAGGGTCCCCATCAATCACGCCGGAATTCGGATGCCACGTAAAAAGGCTGCAGACCGTGTGGGTCCGGTCAAGACCCGAACCCGCAGCGGTTGCAAGGAGTGCCGCGCGAGTCGCGTCCGCTGCGACACGCAGAAACCCGTTTGCTCCCGGTGTCGGGACAGGGGTCTCGTATGCTCCACGGAGCTGGTGCTTAAATGGGAGTCGGAGTTTCTGAGTCGGGGCCTAGCGTTTGGTCGAGCGGGTGTTTGGAGTAAGTCCCGCCCTGCTGGAACGGAGTCTCGAGCGTCGGCGTCGTTGTCGGTTGAGGAGAATGAGTGGTGCGAGTATCCTCCTGTTGAAAGCTGGGGGTTTGTGAATAGTGGTGTTTCGACCTTTGAGAATCCGCATC